ATAAACCCAGACCAGCCCATTGGGAAGGTCCACGTCCTCCACACTTTATTAGCAACGTTTTGGGAACAACTGCTACTCAGGGCACTCGCCTGGCACCTGGACCCTCTCCGGCAGGTCAAGTCCTGCTCTGCAGCCCTGACCCTGTGCACCCTGGTCCTGCCTGCCACGTGATGCACGCTCCACGTCGGACATCTCAGACAACTAATTAAGGATATGTCTGCCCCACAGCACTCAGCGTTTTCAGCTTCACGGTTAAGCAGGCTCGCTAATTAATTGCAATAACTCAAATCAAGTTAAACCCGCTAGGTCCCCCCCACCTCACATACAATTACAGGCAACACTTCATTTCTGATGTCAGATGTTAGATTTTTGTTAGTCCCTGCTTGGAAGATGTCGCCACGAAAGACAACAATTGGAAACTTCTCATGAGCGGGAATAACCATAATTAAAATTACAACTTACTGGGGATTTTTGAATTTCCGACACTGCGTAATTCCCTTGTGAGAGCCACTTTGCTGTTCCCATTAAGGACAGGCCTGTCCCGTAAAGGTCTATGCTGAAGCGACCCTAAAAAACAAGCAGACGAGCCTGGTTAACCCAAAACGCCATGCTTTTGCCATGGTGACAGTTTTCTGCCAGGATGTTGCCAGCAATGTTTTCAATTTTTTCCATCGCTCTGATAGTGATTAGCACATATTGTACAAACCACAGTACGTCTTGGGTTAGTAATTTCCTTCTCCTTGGTGGCTGCAGGGAAGGAGGGGCTTTATCTTGGTTTTTCACTGCTTTTTCTTGGTTTTGCACTGCTTTTTCGCAGTTTGCCGGCTGAGGGCATTCTTGGCTTTTCCATGGCAAACTGCGGAGCCTGACGTGCGCCAGCGGCTGATGGGAAGGTACTCCAGGGATGCGCTGCAGCCGCTTTCGCTGCTCCCTCCTCAACTGGAGAGGGCACACTTGTCCTTATTTTCCTTATTTTCCACTGGGCTTTTTTTTTTTCCTCCAGACTTCAGTAAAATCAAAACTCTTTCATTTGTTTATTTCTTAAAAATGTCCTTCACTTCATTCCACCTTGTCTCAAAATGCACAAAACGGGTGGAAAATTAAGGGCTGTGTCTGTATCCAACGCAGATCCCCCCAGCCTTCCCCTTCCCCGTATGGCAGATCCCAGCCCTGCCTGTTTCTGGACCCAAGGAGGGATCCTGTGGCCACATCCCCAGACTGACCCTCAGCCCAGCACAGCCATGCGGTACCAGATGGCTGTTAACTTTGCTCCCTGCACTTGCTGCCTTGGGAATGTTGATTTTCTGCAAGGAGCAAACTGTCTGAGTCAGATGGATGGATATTAACATTCAGGAGCCTTCCCGAGGTAAGAAGTCAATCCCTAAGCCGCTGAGCTGTGCAGAAAAGTGTCAGCTCCGAAAGTAGGGAGGGAAGGAGAGGGAGAGGTTTGCCCTCTGCCATCTGTTGCTGCAACTCCCTACTTAATGCCCTTTGCAAATATGGTCTACCCAATACCTTGGACTATCCACATGTACCGTTTATCATCCCCCAGCTCCACAGAAACTAGGTGTGCTGGGGACACAGAGCAAGTCACCTGTAGCACAGTGTTAATTAGCCTCCTAAAGACTTTCAAGAAAGCATATTTCTTCCAAGCAACTGGGCTAGATGTCCTACATCGTCTCCTGAAGCTACCGAGGATGCGACTTAGCCTGTGCTCAGCTCTGTGCTTTTGTGGCCGGGCACCTCATGGTGCTGGGACAGGCTGGATTTGCCCTGACGTGCAGGCACTGTCTTCGTTTTGTCAGTGTTTTCCCAGCCCCAAAGTAGACTGAGTGATGGTCCCACCGGGCTGCTGTGAAAACAAGCAGCAGGGCGTGGGGATGGTGGGACAGCGGCTGGCGGGTACCACTGCAGTCTGACTGACGGAGTTCCTCGGTCCGGCAGCAGAAACCCGACCTGTTCCTGCCCTGCAAATGCCCTCTCCTTCTCGGGCATCTCCACCCTGAGCTGGCTTGGCAGGAGTCCTGCTGTCTGCCTGCTGCCTTCTCCATCCAGAGGGGTTATCTCACCCGTCTTCCCGCACCCCTGAAAACAGCAGTTTCAGCAGATACAAGACTGCGGAACGCAGAGGCAGGGTCCCAGGGCATCCCGATGGCCTGATTCACTGCTGCTCTCCCTGCCCAGCATTTCCACCAAGTCCTGCCACGGACTGATCTTACCTTCAACTACACGTGCAAAGCCCAGCCTTTCTCCCACAGCTTACTACTTCTTCCTTTTCTCCTTTACTGTCGACTGTTTGAGCACCCGCAGGGGGCTGCAGGAGCCCTGGGGAATGTCCCTTAGCCAGTCCCGATGCCGGTCTGATAATAACCTGACATTTTCCCGAACAGAAAATGGAGAGTGCTTTCTGCACAGACAAAGGGAAAAGTTTCCGACCACTGAGATGAGAACGTGACAGTCACTGGTCTTGGGCTGATGTGATCAGCAGTAATTAATAGAGGGCCCGAACAAAACAAATGGCACCAATTTGTATGAAATGCTATTGTCAAATACCTGCGGGCATTTGGCTGCACTGTAGCAGTCCCCAGCAGTGGCATAAGGAACGGGTCGTCCATCATGTGTCCGTGCAAACTGTAAATCAGTCGCTGTGGAGCATAGTTGGTGAATAACACGGAAAGAAAGATGCAGGGAAAAAGACAAAATAAATGTAAACATGCTCTTCACTAATGTTTAAATTCACTAAAGCTGGTTCCATACATTAATCTTGAGAGTCAAGACTGCTGAATTTTTAATATTAAATCCCCCAAGTCATCCTACATGTGACTCCTAGCACGTGAGCACTGAATTTAACAGGACACTTAAACGTTCAATGTTTACAGCTCAGTTTAAGTACATTGGTAATTTAGGGCCTAGGTATAAATAACACCAAAACTCGAACCCATGACTTGGGTTTTATTTCTCTATCAGAAAATTCCCCACTTTCAAGAAGGCCGTGGGACCTCCTAAATCTCCCTTTTAAACAAAGGCAAACAACCATCTCTGTGCTCTCCTGGCTGCCCCAGCCCAGGGGTCGGGGTTTCAAAGGGAATTGGGGTATTTTGCTCTGGAGGGAGACTCATTTAGATGGAGATGTGAGATAGCTCCTGCCTGACAGAGGTAGGTGCCCAGCTCCTTTTGAAATTCAAAGGGAGCTGGTATCAAATTCCCCCAGGGTGGTTCCTTTGAGATCTTTACCTAGGAGCTTTTACAGACTATTAGTAGCTTTTTACAGATTGATAGACTGGGAGGTCTCACGGCTTGAAAACTAAGTGATAAAAAAACCTTATCAGATAGAGAGTCATTTTACAAGGAAGGATTTTGATTTGCTAAAAAATCTCCGCTATTTACTGAATGAACCCCCAACAATATGTGGTATTTTCAAAACATTTGCTGGAAACTGAGAGCATCCCTGGAGTCAGGGGGACTGAAACCCTAACGCTACGGGATGCTGCGGGCTCTTCAGTGGCGGGATGGCTCCCAGCTCCCATGAATGACAAGAGAGACAGGGTACACGTACAGTGCACAGCTACAGTCCCCTCCTCCCCTGCAAATCCATGGCCCCAGCTCCATCACTCTCAACACAAGTTATTTCTCCATGGTCTGGCTCTGCCAAAAGCCTCCTCCACCCTGGCCTGGAGGGAGCAGCATCCCGACCCCAGTGGAGCCCCCTGTACCGGGATCCCCTGACAGGTCTGTGTGTAAAATGGGGGGCCAGCTCCTCCCCGGTTAAGCTTTCTGCTTGAGTCCAGTCTGAAAATAGGAGACCAAATGAAATAAAATCCTTCAAAAAATACACTGGCCTGCTGGGAGCATGCAAATATTCATTCTGTACAGCACACGCGCCAACAACTGTCTTAATATTTTCCAGTATTACAGAGAAATAGTATGCACATCTCTGATATACTCGAGTTGCAGTCTCTAAGTGTAAAGCAGCAAACAGGTGACCAAGTTTAAAAGCAGCTTTTAACAGAAGAGCTCAGGAATATTGCCCGCTAGAGTACTACTGCTTGTTTGTAGTTACAGCTATATTTGTGTAAAATAAACATATTTTTTTAATGGCAAGGCCCTGTTTTTACTCACTTATTATTTGCATAGTGTTCAGGTCCAGCCTTACTTTGCTGAAGGTGGAAAACCCAGCTGCTGTGTAATCTTTCCTACACTGGCAGTCTTCTCGTCTGCTCCCATTATACGGACATTCAGTCGGGTTATGCAATCTAAATCAAAAGAAAACCCGTTCTACTCATGACCGGAAAATATTGCCATGGAAAACAAAAATACTGTGAAGCTCAGGATTAAGGGATTTCTTACCTGTATCCATACACTTCCGAAAAATTCTCTGCATCCCCATTTACAAGGGTCACGTACTCCTTTGGACTGTCAGTCTGCATCCCAGAGCAATACACCTGAGAGAGAGAAGCCAGAATTTTGTCAGGTATCATGTGCAAAGGGATGGCAGAGAAAAACGGAGGTAAAAAATCCAAAATTCAATCTGTTGCTGAAATGCACCTTTAATGTCTTTCCTTTGACTTGAAGGAAATATTCACCATCTTCAGTGACACCTTTGAGATTTTTAACATCTTTACAACGCCTTGGTAATTCACCTGAAACAAAACAGAAATACTTGTAGTCACTGAGCCACTGTACATCAAAATTTCTTTTGTAACAATGTGAGGCATCCAAAGCATCAAAACACTTTGTTTATTTTTAAAAGGTCTCCCTGAAGTGCCTTAGTGCTTAGTTGGATGGCTCCCGAGGCCTGGAAATACTGCACACCTCTAGGCGTTTGATGGGAACAGATGCTCAGGCCACGAGAAAGGCAAAGGAAGGTGCAAATCTGCAGACTTACAGTCATGGATGTTGTGGCATGTCCTCCTCTCTTCGGGTTTCAGATCTGCATGGCACAAGCTGCTGACCTGGTCATCGTTCGTCAAACACTGCACCGACCGGTGCATGACTCCAACTCCACAGGTAACGGAGCACTGCAAGACAGAAGACAGAGATTCGTATTTTATCTCAAGGGTTTCTGGGCTCCAGAAGAACAGAGACAGCCTGTTTCCCTTGTATCAAGAGACAGCAGCAAAGGCCCCAGTCCTGCAAAGTGTTCAAACACAGGCTTAATTTTAATCAAACAAGTAATCCCTTTTATTATTAATCCCTTCATTATTATCTTCATCACTAATTATTTCAAGAAGACTACTGAACTTCGCTTAGCACTTAAACACTTTACAGGATGAGGCACTATTGGTTAAGGTGAACCATGTGCTCATGTGAAATTGTTTATTTTTCACACTAGGAAGGTTGTACAAGGGAGAAATGTTCACCAGAAGGCCTGAACGGTAGAAATCCTCTCCTGGTGGCTAGGAGACATTTCTTGGGACTGACAGGGGCCTCTGAACAAACATGACATGGTTTGTTGTTTTCTATCCAAATTGCACCAAAAAACCCACAGCCTCCAAACCTTCTCTCCCCTCACCCTCTGGAAAAACGGCCAAATCTGCACAAACACTGGGTCATCCTCAAACAGCCCAAATCAAGGGCAATCTTAAGGCTGAAATTGCACAAGTTACTGGAACTACCAAGCAGCAGCTTGTCCGCGCTGGCTGCCACTGAGCACGGGCGATGGGAGGTGGGAGCATCTTGCTCCCCCTCGGCAACTTGTTCTTTCAATACTTGAGAACTGAAAATCAGCCATTTCTACAGGTACCAGGTTAGGCTGCCAAGAAAATGATGCTGCTCATCAGCTTAGAAATTATTAGTCTAAAGGAGCACACCATGAAGGAGGCAGCCTTCAAAGGCTCACGGTATTTGCAACTTGGCATTTACTCTTTATCAGGTCCAAATCCATAAAACTTAACTAAGGACCTGAGCAGGACTCTCTCTGTCCATCAAAGGTGATGGTATTTTACATTAAATCCCTTTGAAAATCAGAGATGAGAAGGGTCATGGCACTTGGTAGTCACTGGGACGTTCAGCAGCCCAAAGCGAGGAGAAAGGTCTTGCTCTCTGAAATGGATACTCTTTGCAATGAAGTTAAATTAATGAGTTGGACATCTTGCACTGAAATTCTGGGGAAAAATACCAATTAATTGAGGCTGAGCTCTTTGCTGTAACTCTTCTGCCCTGACTCGCAGGGAGGATCTGAAGCTTCCTATGGGGCAGCAGGAACTTAAGTTTCAAACGGCTCTGTCATTTACTGTGACAACTTCCACTACATTTTGCTTGACTTGACCCTCGTTGCCTTGTAAAGGTTTGACAAATTCCTACAAATGCCTGAGCTGGGTTAATAAATCAAATTTATGGGAGAAACACCACATTTCAAAGAATGTCAGAAGCCCAAAGAAGTGAAATGTTATCACCTTAACTAAAATTTGATCTTGTAGTTCAGGCCCCAGAAGAGGCTCAACACAAATAACTTTAGCAGAAAGGCTAAGTTCTTTCCCCTGCCCTGTCCCAGCATTTGTAAGAAGGAAAGGAAAAAAAAAAAAGAAAGAAAAATCTCTTTAAGGCTCAAATTACCAGTGTTTTGGCTTATTGGTGGTTCCCAAGTCTTGCTCATACACATGGCCAAGTAGGATCAACCCCAGCTGCCAGCTATCCATCGATCCCTCTAGCACAAGGCTTTCAAACCCTTGTTTTCTGGCAATGACCCCACTTTCTGACTAAGCATTCAGCATGACCACCAACACTGCCACAAATTTTGGCTACATCCAAATTTTTGGGGAGATCATGGCTCCACTTGTGGCTGCTAGGACTCCCCCATATGATGGGGTTCAGTCTGGAGCACGGAGCCCTACACACACTGGGGCTGCTGCTGCACAAGGGTATTCATTGCATTAATTTATGCAGTTCTTAAACATTCCCCTGCCAAACCTTCAGACTGCGTCCCCGGTGTAAAGAAAAATAAGTTTGTTCCAATTTTTTTGGTTAAAAAAAGAAGTTTGCCAAACTTACGCTTCCCCAGTTGCCGACGCGCCAGGATGCCGAGACGGGGCACTCCCCAAGGTAGCAGGGCTGGATGTTGGGCGGCTGTGTGCCAGGACAGTTGACCATGTTCTGGTACCCGTACTCGTAGTGGTCCTTCCCGGTGTAAATCTCGCTGCAGGACACCAGGCGCTGCCTGTATCCCTTCCCGCACGTGACGGAGCACTGTGGGCAGAGGGAGCAGCTGTTAGCACCGCACACTTCGGGAATGCTGCCCGAAACGGGGAGGAAAAGCAGGCTTGCCAGCTTTTAACATGACAAGCTGCTCCAAGGGATCACTAGTAACTATTTAAGCCAGCCATGAGTATTGTGAGTGGCTACAAGTGGGCTGGCGCCCGACACTGCCTTTGAGCACCCAATTCCTCCCTGTGCTACTTGTACAGCTGCTCCAGGACCCCCTACTCCAGGTTGGCTCCTGGGCACACGTTATCTCTCCCCAAGGACAAAGAAAGGAGCAGAAGATCCTTGGGAACTCAGAAATGCCTCTGTAATTGGGTTTTCTTTTTTTTCCTTTCTTTTATTTTTTGCCATAGGATGCACAGAGAAAGAAAATGGTCAAGATTGACCCTGAATTGCAGGTACCTGGCAGCAACTGGAAGAAAGGGAAGGTTTTCCTTCTAATTAGAGGACAACCACAGGTGGGTGGGAATGGGTAGAGGGTGTCTGGGCAAGGGGCAGCCAGGGCCCCAGCCTCACAGGCACCCTAATATTTCTCTTAGGAAACTACCCAGGAGAGCAGGTTGCCCTGAGAAATTCCCACCTCTCCACATTTCACCCTCCTGCCCTATCTTGGGTGGCTTGTATCTCCTCCCCCTCAGTCCCGGCATGTTTTCTTTCTTCCCTTTTCTTGTTCTTTCTTTTTAATCAGTGCTGTGTCAGCAGCTGCCTTGTCATTTCCCTCTGCTGTTCCTCCAAGTGGAAAATAATCCTTCACTTGCTGAAGAAGGAAACAGGCTGAGATTAGCCTGGGTCCTCCTGCATGCAGCGCCTGCCGCAAAGAAAACACATCTATTTTCCTTGCTGAGCCCTCTCCCAGCCACGAGGGTGAACCTGCTGCCTTCGCTCGCGCTGGGTCCTCGATCCTGCCAAAGACGGCACCGAGGAAGGATGTGTCCCCACCGTCACAGCCAGGCTTGCCTTTCCCCCAGGATGCTCACCTGGACCCTCACACAGCTCATGGGGCCCCGAAGCTCCCCAGGAGGGGATGGGAATAAAACTAAATAAATAAGTGAATGAAATAAAATGGCACAAAACCAAGGAGGGTTTCTGCTGGATACGATGTGCTTTGGAAGAAAATTGCCTCTGGATATTAGCTAGGACTCTGAGCATGCTGGCATTTACTCTTTAATAACCTGGTCTTCTCTCACAGCCCTGCTCCTTTCTCTCTAGCAGGGAAATTGCACACAGAAACAAACCAACAAATAATAATTAAACCACGCAGCACTGCCCTGCCACTGTTGATTTGGGTTGCAATATCTCAGCGAGGCCGGAGGCGAGAGGAGGAGAGCGTGGCCCGGTGCAGAGCGGCATGGTCCCTGCGTGGGGACGAGGATGGGCACTCACCTCCGACCACTCCCCAGTGATCCAGACGTACTCGCAGGGCGGCAGCCCACAGCTCTCAATTTCGGAGGGGCGTTTGCTGGCATCGCAGTAGCCGTTGTTCTGCACCCGCTTGTTTTCATCCACGCAGACCACCTTGCGGTACCGAGATGCCTCCCCGCACGTCTTCATGCACTGTTTGCAAGAAACAACGGCTCATGCAATCCATGAGGGACTTCAAATTAATCTGCATCCGCAAAGTGAGCGAGCCCTCCTCCCAGCAGCCTGAGTGAGCGGACGGCTCTGTGCCCCATGTTGGCATCTCTCATTGGTATCACCTGGGGGCAATTGCGAGACCAGGGCCCCGCTCCACCAGGCGCTGCAGGAGCATCCAGTGACAAACTGCTCCCGTCCTCTGGAGGTACCAAGCCAAATCGCAGGCGTAAGGAGAGAGGAGAAACCAAGGCAGCAGGTATAGGGATGGGGTGGATGTGGGGTCCATCTGTGATGGAACCAAGAGATGCGGGGATGGGCATGCCAGGTCAGGAGACGGGGCAAAGGGGAAAGAAAGGGGCCAACCCCATCATTTCAGCCCCTAGTAAACACAGCCGCTTGGAGAACAAAAAACCAGCCATCCCCCTTCCAAAATACATGCCGTTGCACTCTTGGCTGTGGCTGGGGTGGGGGGAGCCCCTTCCCTGGTCCCCGCCAGTGGGCGAGCAGCAGCGCTCTGCCCTGACACGGCCTGGGGGCACATCTCTGCAACCGCCGCAGCGGAGGCAGCCCTACGGGTTTATTCTCTTTTAAACATTGCCCTGCCCAATATTAAGAGCAACCCCTGCTAGCCGAGCACAACTGCTCCCCAGGGACTTCTGGAGACTTTAAGGACTCGGTTCTTTCTCTGCTAGTCTTGGAAAAACCAGCCCGGCTGCAAGGCTGTGCTCCTGGGAGTGGGTCTGTGTTCAGAGTGCAGCTCACAAAACACATACAGAGAACAAAATAAATCAGCGTAAGAGCAGCTGTCTGGATAAAACCATATTTTCTTAAAGTTATTGCTTGTAATGGACTTCTAACACTCTCAACTAACTGGATTAACAAGGAGAAAAATGCATGAAAATAATCATTTTATATAACATGCTGGAAATGTCCTCCCCTAAGGAAAAGGATAAAACATTCAATCAGACCATCCCTATCTGTACAGAAACACCATTTGAAGTCACCTAGGCTCGGAGGATCGTGCCAGTTTAATCTAGTTAGAGTCTCACTCTCCGAACATCGTTTCTAGCCTCCCCGACGCAGCTCCTGCTCTCCTGGCTGGCCCACAATTAGCAAGATCTTAGTGGGTTCAGCTAATTGCGAAATGCAGGCATTGTCAGGCCCCCGTTTCTGTAATTAGCTGTCAGAACCAAGATTGCAAATTATGTGAAAACTTTGAAAAATCAGATCAATCTGCGGCAGGAGCAAACCAGGAGAGCTGCAGCGAGCGCAATGTCATGTTGGTTGTAAATATTTAGTAACCGTGCAAAGTGGAGGGGGACAGGGAAGGAGAGGCAGCCCCACAAAGCAGCATTTATTCCGAACAAATAACTTAGGAGCTCTTAGGCAACAGTCAACATTGCAAAATCCGCAGTCTGCCAAAAGACCCCAAGGGCTTCGTGTGCTTTCAACCTTATTTACACTCTTGCTTTAAGTCTTTGGAGTGGAAGCTCCTTCTAGGTCTGAGCCGAAACACAGCGATCCTACAGGGGCTGGAGGAGTTTGCTGGAGTGTGATTTCCCCAGAGAGCAAACAAACTGTGCTATATTTGCCCTTCTCTGATACCTCCCCATTCCGTAAGTAAAATCTGAAAGGGGGTTATTGCATGTGAATAAGGCATCACGCTTCCTTGAGCGGCACCTTTCAGGGGCAGCGTGAACCCTGACCTTCCTGCTCCCTCCTAACGAGGGACTCTCCAGCACAGTGGGAGCGGGGCTATGGGATGCTCAAAGCTCCCCTTCTCTCTGGTTTGGCGTACACCAGCTCAGCACGTGGTCACCAGCGCAGGGTGAATCGTTCCAGCTCACAGCCAAACGAGGCACCTCGCAAGGAGTGGGAAGAAACAAGGTTGATTTCACCTCCTCCCCTTAATGTATATTTAAGCCTAAATTTGCAAAGTACATTGGCTCACGCTTAATTTTAGGAGGGTGAGTAATCTCTATGCCATCAGTGGGTCTTCTGACATTGGCCATGAAGAGCTATCATATCAAAAGCCCATCCTCATTTAAAATCATTAGTTGCTGATAAGAGATTGACACTCTCAAACACACGCCAGCCTGCTTTGGGATTCTCTGCAAATAACGGTTGTATGGCCAAATAAACCTCAGTCAGCTCTGTCCGTTTTGTCATCATCAGTAAATTAAAGTTTGATTATTTGTATTTTTGAGGATAACTGGCAATCAAAATAATCCCACTGAGATACTAAATACGGCTCAAAGACAGTGAGACGAGCATAAAACCAATCAAAGAGAATCACTGCAGAGGTTCCAATCAACCACCCCAAGGTTATAAAACATTATTCACATAGAAAGTGGACAGTTCAGCTAGCATGAAAAGGCCATTTTTCCTTTTAATATGGTGATAGATTTTGTATGAAATCTCATGTTTGTGACTGATCTAAATCTCACATAAAACAGCAGGGCCAGGGGATAACAGACATTGATAGCAAGAACTGAAAAGCAGGTCAGGCATTTGACAATATTCGTCTCTCTTGCCTCATTTCCTGAATTTTGAACTATTTTCCTGGCAGTTCAAATTAAGGACCATTTCAAGCACTTCTGCAACTGTTTTAGAAGAGTAATAATAATAATTAAAAAAACCTCAAAGGCATTGCTTTGCGAAAGCATTCATTGCTTTCTTTTTTTTTTTTTCTAAATCAAAATCTGAAACAGAGATGAAACAAAACCCCAGGCCACGAATGCTTCAAACATGCCTTGGGTAACTCTGCTATATCCGAATCAGGCAAGGATGGCATGATTTTCCCCCAAACGGCAAATGCTGAAGATTCAAGAATCACATTGCAGCTTCCAGAGCCGTGCATTGTCCTTCCACAGAGGTTCATATTAAAAAAACCACAACTCTTCTCTCTCCCAATTTTCCCTTTTTCTTTGTGAACCTGGCCTGGGTTTTACTTTGACATAAGCAAGGCCCTTTCTATTGACTTTCTTCTCCCTGGTGTGGGCACTGAGAACAGCTAATTAATGGTGATACACCGACAGAGCAATAAACGGTTTCCAATAAGTTCCCTAGTCCTTTTAATCGGCAAGACCAACTTTTTTCTAAACAACAACAATAGAAAGGAACAATAAAAAAAAACCCTCTCGACGGATTCCCTTTAAAGATAAGAAATCAAGAACAAGACAGCACTGGGATGTTATTTTACATCCCGCCTTTCATGTCAATTAGGGTCCATTGCTGTTCCCTGCTCAGAGAATACTAAAGCAATCTGTGCCTCCTTGCTATAAATAACATGGGGCCAGTACTTATGACTGGGGAGAAGGCGCTATTACTTTTTTTCACCGGGTACATCAGAACAAAATAAGAAGTGCTCAGCAGAAGAACTGCTTGGAGTCAGCCACCGGGTGAGCTCACATTGGGCATCTCCTGCAAGTTTCTATTAATGGTTATTTATGGGTGAGGAAACTTCCAAGCCCACCCCCCAGCAAAGCTCCCCTGGGGAAAAGAAAAAAATCTCCGTAACACGTTAAAAATTTCCCCAGTGCAATGGGGAACCCTGGAAAACATCAGCATCCACCTCCCACCAAGGGCTTGGCAGGGTGGGGGCAGGCAGGAGCTGGTTGCCGCTGGTTTGAAAAGCTGCCAAAATAAGGGGAAGAGGGTAAAAGGACGGGGGAGGA